CCCCCCCCCCCCCCCCGTCGACAACATTTCCGGGAAAAAAATTTACGACTTGGTCAAAATCCTAGGAAAAGTTGGTCAAAACATGACGACACCCCCCCCAATGTTGATGTCTTCGCGACGTCCCTGCATCAATGTTTTGATGATACCCTGAAAGACAGAAATTACATACAACACAACATCAATGTTTTGATGATGATATCATGAAAAACACAAATTACATACAACACAACATCAATATTTTGATGATGATATCATGAAAAACACAAATTACATACAACACAACATCAATGTTTTGATGATGATATCATGAAAAACACAAATTACATACAACACAACTCTTTGAATGGATTCACTGCGCGGTACAGAAGATGCTACAATTTTCTTATCAAATTATAGCCTTACCAGAGACCACCCGGCCAGCACCATGCCACCCCTTCCCCTCACCCCCCACCCACACCCACACACACACCGACATCCTGCCGAATACCAATCGAATTTATACTACGATAAAGTTTCTTCGAACAAAGTTTTGATCATTTTAGCACCTTTAGGGAACTTATCGAAGTGGGGGTAATTGATCTTACCGCAACGCGGCAAGCAAGAAAAACTCACATGAATTTCCAGCCCAAATTGTTTTGGAGGGGTTAGTAGAAAGGTTGTAGAAAGGAGGTTGTGAGCTTAATAACTTTCTGTCTTTGTAAAGGAAGTTTATAACAGAGGGGATTTAGTAATTAACTTACAATTTTTCTTCAACTAACCGTGATATTATTCCAAACAGTTGCGACATTATAATCGTGTTTTCTTAGCCAATGATTAAGAAATGAGAGAGATCTGACAAAATAAGACATTACTAAATTAGATAATTCTACTCTCTCCTTCACAGCTCTTAAAACATGCATGCACAAGTACTTATTTAAGATATTGATAACTTAAACTTGCCACAAGCCCGCCATTTTCCCTATAGCTTTATTACGCGAGTATAAAGATGATGTGAACCGCGCGAAGTAAAAATGACGTCTTTGAAAAGGATTTTGCGAAAGTCGATAATTGATACTTAGCGCGATTAC